AACAAAAATACTTATAAAATTTATGAATTTTGTCACTTAAAATTATTGACGTATCTATTGCGGATTAGTTATTCAATAAATTTGAGCAGTATCGCCTATAAGTATACAAAAAAAAATTACATTTATTTATTTAAAGCTTTTAGGAAGAATTTTTGTCTCTTGACTTCTTGAGTAAAAATATTTTATTATAATTTATTTTAGATTTTTATATAATTTAGCAATTTTATTACTTGTAATTATTAATTTTGAAATTTCTTTTACACGAATATTCTACAATTTTWGGTTTTAACGCCGCAAAGTATGCAAAAAAAGTAAAGTTTTTTCCCAACTTTTMGAGAGAATTTTAGTGTTAATAATTGACACCTAAACTGTTTGTGTAACGGGGAAAAGTCASTAGACCGATCAGAAGAATCTGCGGAGCTTGATCAGGAAGAAAGGGAATATTTTGTGACTCTGCAAAAATAACTGTAACAACTAACTATACATTTTTAATCTGCCGCTACAGCAACAACAGAAATTTTTAATTAATGTAAAACTTAAGAAATTTCTACATTTTGTACTCAATACTAAAAATAATTTCCATAAAAAGTTCGCAGTGTACATACAATGTACAAAATTTCAAATGTTTATATATAAAACAATTAATTTTCTTCTAATCATAAGTACCTACATACATACATATGTGCATATATAATAATATAAATGCATATATTTCTATATTTAAATTAAATTGCAATTATTTTGCTTCACAGAGGGCCTAGCGAATAATTATTTCGTACTTTGCAACCTACAAGGTCATTTCGCAAATATAACGGCATAACAATCACTGAAATATTAAAGCATTGCAAATGTTTTAATAGCAAGGGTAATTTATTTTATATAATATATAACAAGCTCATGATGTGTACTCTATATATACTATGTATGTATACGTTCTTTAACAAAATATATATTTTTTCACTTTTATTTCTAGAAATTACAGTAGTTTTCTGTTTACAAAAATATTTAAGATAAAATAACATATAAATGCAAAACTGGCATRAAGTTCCAGACATTAGTTTCCATATATGAACCAAATGCTTTTCTTTTTGCTTAAAGTTTAAAGATTACTGAATTTGGCTGGACGCTTCTCAACGAAAGCAGTCATGCCTTCCTTACGGTCCTCCTGCAAACATATGAATAATAAACGATTTAAGACGATAAAAATTAATTTTACATTTCTTAGTAAATTCWAAATGAAATGAAATGATATTTAAGCATTTACTCACAGTTGCGAATGTGGCATGGAAGGTTCTGCGTTCGAACTTCAAACCTTCTTGTAGTGTAGTTTCGTATGCTGTATTTACGGCCTCTTTGCAAAGTTGCACAATCAAACCGGAGTGTGTGCCAATCTTCTCACCCAATTTGATAGCTTCGCTAACCAACTGATCGGCGGGCAATACCTTGCTCACCAAACCCATTTTCTCCGCCTCCACAGCAGTTATCATATTGCCAGTCAAACAGATTTCCATAGCCTTTGATTTACCAACAGCACGTGTCAAACGCTGAGTGCCACCAGCACCGGGAATAGTGCCTAAAGCAATTTCTGGCTGACCGAATTTCGCTTTTTCACCAGCATAAATGATGTCGCACATCATAGCCAGTTCACAGCCACCACCCAAGGCATAACCATTCACGGCGGCAATAATGGGTTTCTGACAGCGTGCAACACGTGTCCAGTCATTAAGGAAGTTACCCATAATGCAATCGGCATAGGTGTTCGATTGCATTTCTTTAATATCAGCGCCAGCTGCAAATGCTTTCTCGCTACCAGTGATAACAATAGCGGCAACATTCGCGTCACGTTCATAAGTGTCGAGTGCTTGACTCAGTTCCGACATTAGACCATTGCACAGAGCATTAAGCGCTTTGGGGCGATTCAATGTGATAACGGCGACATTCTTCTTTTCACCAGTCACTTCGTGCTTGATATACTCCAAGTTGGCGGCTGTAGAAAAGTGCATTTGGCATTTTTTATTCAAATGTATTTAATTTTTTTTTTTTAATTATTTGGTAAATAATATTATTCTCATTATCATTTAAACAAATGTCATACATATTGACAGTATTGGTTGCAGTATATTTAAACCCTTGCATATTATCTAATCACACGCTGTTTTTAATAGTTTTAGGCATAAAAAAATCTCAGCAAAACATCGTTATATACACACAAAGATATGTATTTATATATACATATGTATATATTTTTGTAAATATTCTGTATAAATTTTCCACTTATAAACATTTCTATACTAATTTAAGATAAAAACCGGCATTTTTGCATAAATTACTTACATACACATGTATACATATGTATGTATGTATGTATGTATTTGAACATATATGTATGTTACATATAACAACCGGCGCAATTAATTTAACCAACTGCCGTTTCCTAGTTCTTTACTTATTTTATAAACATCATCCGACAAAGCAAAAAAAAACTATGAAAACAGTAGCAAATAAGCATTCGAACTATAACACGTCAATGTCATTATTACATAAGRCAGTCGTCAAATTAACCAAAAACAAACCACACCTCCTTTTTTAATTAAACAGCTTGCGCTTGAACTCAACAAACGTTCATACACTTTTCTAAAACAAATATAATCAAAACACTTGATTTCTTTTGCACAAAAGAAGTAAAAAACAACAGTGGAAATAATGTGCAAAGTCCAACCTTTTACTTTTACATCTATACAGTGCTATGCCTGGAATATGCATATATGGCAGTTCATAAGGGCACAAAGATAGCTGGGGACATACAGAAGAGCTTGCCGCTTTGGAATCTTCTGTATAAATTTCAATTTCTTAAGTATATTGCACTTACCAGAGGCGAAGAAACGCGGTGCCAACTGTGGCTGCTTTGCGGCCACTTGTAGTACATGCTGGGCACGTCCAGCCAAAAGTTTTGCAATATTCGCCATCTTTGCGCTATTTAATTGAAATCAACGAATGCCACACACCTGCAAAGTAAACACAACAACACTTAGTGAGTTTCTTATTAGAATTTTYGTTATCAGCACAACGCCAACTTACGCTACAAGGTCTGGAAACAGAATAAAATGCTAGTTGCTGGTGCTACAGCAGAGACTTTACATTCTCTGACTGATCTTGTTTTGCTGTGAATCTAAACGCGTGCAAACGAGATAACACATGTTCTATTTATATGCCGGTTGTTATTGTGCCGACGAGCATACCCTGTAGGAAAAACTAAAAAAAAAAAATTCCTTGTACAACGCCACTAATAATCGCTGATAACAATACTTCTCACACGTTTGTTCTTTTTATGTAACTGATACATACATACATAAATGTCTAATTAAGATACATTTCGTGGTTTTATAACAAAAAAACAAATATGTCTGTTGGTAGAAATAGTAATTTTTTTCCTACTATTCATTTGTTTCATTTGCCCGGTTATACCACAGGGTTGCAGTTAGCCAGAAAAATAATCATATACTACATATACATTACTATTTGTAACTGTTCACGTCTTTTTTGTTTAAAAATTAAATTAAAACACTAATCAACTTTAATTCAGAAATATTCAACATTTGAAGTTTTATTAAAAATATGTTGCTTTTGTTTTGGTTTTTTTTTTTTGTTCATAAAAGAAATACCTTATTCTAGGCGTTATTGTAAAAATGTGCAAGTATAAAAATATCTTCATATAATAAATATTAAGTATTCACATAGTAAATACATACATATGTTACRGGCCCACAACCAATTATCTTCTCCTTCCATATGTAAATAAATATATTTGCGTATATACTTGAGATTTGCAAGGATAATTCAAAATTATAACAACAAAAAATGTTAATTCAAAGTAGCGCATATATGTACTTAAAGTTCAAATGAGGTACATTGAAAATGTGAATCAAAATTAAATTAATTGCTAAATAAATGTAAATATGCGCCAAAAAGTGTTTTTTTGTTTGTTTTTTGCGGCGACTAACAAAAATATTAAAATTGCTACTTTGCAAAAAATATGTGTTAATATAGAAAAATGAAGTACGCAAGTTTCTTTGTGACGGCGCGTTTAAGACGGACGTTTGACGGCTGATTTGAAATTACCCGAGAAGTTCCTTATTTATTATTTTTTATACGGATATGGCGGTGTGGCATGGAACTTTCGCTTTTTAAGTGTGCCTTTGAGTGGAGTTGCTATATGGAAGATCGCAATAAGTTAGTAAAGAGTGAGTTATTTAAAATACAAATAACTCACCATACAAGGAATAGAGAGATTCTTTAGTATTGTGGCTCGGTGTGCGCATTATTGTATTGGTTGAGCCATTTGTTTGATTGTTCTCCTTATCTACATCCAATATCACATATTGTGACCAGTAATCGCCAGGAATTTTCAACAAATTCTGCATGGTGGTGAACTGCATGTACACTTCAGTAAAGATGGCGTGTCGGTCTGGATCTGCGGATGAATACCCAACAATAGTTGGTCCAAATACACGCGCAATATTATCAATCGGCATTAGAACTTCGCGACATTCAGCAACACGTTGGAAATGTAATATTAAGAATGCTAAAGTATCGCGATTTGCTGCTGGTAAAGCATCAATTGCCTTAAAGAGATCCTTTTGTATCTCAACTTCTGTGGGCTGTTGCACGGCATTACAGAAATCTTTCCATAAATTGGTGGGTATGAGTGGTTCACGTAAGGAACGCAAAAAATCTTTTACACAGCCACACAAGACATGTACATCAATATTGCCYAGATGTGGTGTGTTTTTACCGCGTAAAAATCGCTCCTTTAGTGCTTTGACCTCACGCTCCGAACCCGATACACGATAAATACCAACCTCATTGAGACCGCGTGATTCAATTTCATTAACGCAATGTACAATAAGTGCTGGTACCATCGGTGACACGTTCGGTGCATAATCACTGATATAACTCATCATACCCTTAATTGTGGGCGTACCCGATTGTGGTACGCAACTTACTGCCAACGCAATACGGCAATCTGCGTGGCAACGTACTGGACAGTCCCTACAGCGAACACCTACCGTACCAAAACGAATTCTGCAATTGTAAAAAAAAATTTACATATTTATTATTTTGTTTATTACGTCTTTAAATAAATGCTTACTTTTTTTGACAATGTGTGCAAGTATCTGTTCGTATGAAAGTGCGCGAAGCGAAATTATGTGGTCGCATCAACTGTGTACGTAGGCTAGACACTTGCGGTGAACACAAATTAATAGCCGGTCCGCATTTAATTGCTGTCATCGGTGTTATTGGTGGTGCAGTGGCCTGTTTATAAGGTGAACCGGTAGGTGTGGTACATGCTGCTTCTTCAGTGCTCGCCTCTTTATCCAAAGAAACGGTAGCAACAATTGGCACAGCAGGCATAGACTCAATGGTAGATTCCGCGCGTATAGCACCATTTCCATCTTGTGGAATAGTCACCTTAGTAGTTGCACATATGCGTTCAGCACCAGGTGCTACATCCATCATATGTTGCTGTTGTGTACCGAGACCACTACGTCGTGTAGTGGAGCGTCTCGTATTGGTTACTGGTGTTGTTTGCATACCTGYTCCACTAACACGTGAGCGTTTTCCGCCCACGCATGGTATTGAATTTTTAGGCAAAGAGGGACGATGCTTTAGCCAGCCCGCGGATGGACGCACATCAAGAAAATCATCTTCAGATTGTGTTATAGATAAATCGGAAAGAAATGAGCCTGTCGAATTTATATCATTGCCGTATTTTTCCTCYATTACACGGTTCATTGACTTTCGTTTGCGCGGCAAAGTATTTAGAAAGGCTAACTTATCGCGTGTCTCGTTGTTTAAATTGGCATCCTTCTGTACTAAGTCAGCYACAGCAATTATTTTCTTTTCCATTTGATCGCGTTCGTGTTCAGCTTCACGACGTAACTTACTTTCAACTTCAAGGAGACGACGCGCATGATAAAGCTTCGTTTCCAAATCTGCCATTGATTCTAGTGAAGCATCTAATTCTTTCTGTATACGCTGTGCTTCTTTTGCGGTATCTAAGCATTCTTGCCGAAATTGTTCTTGTAAACGCAAAACTCGTAGGAATTCTAATGAAGAATGCATAACAATATAATGTGATTTTATTCTGGTGTCTTAAGCTAGGCTAAAGATTCTTACCTTCCTCTGCGGTGCCATCAGTCAATACCTGAATACAACGACGAATATCGTCGAATGTTGCCAATGTGGACAACGCGGCAGCCGACATATCTAAACTCGGTTTCTACAAAACAATACTTTAAGTACAACACTCTCACTTTCAATTATAATATAATAACACTTTTGAGATTTTTTATATTTATATTGAATATGAAAAAATTGAACACAGCGCACCTTYACTAAATTTTCGAACGATTGTTTGACACAGTTGACCGTTGAATTGAAACAACAAAAAGCGCAGCTGCTGTCAAAAATAATAGCGTGAGTTATACTTCAGTGGAGAGGTTACCAGATAAGTATTAAACAAAAATATTAGCTTTTCCAAATAGTTTTGCAATTTTTTTCTTTTAAACCGCAACTAAAAATTTTGTTTTATCAAAATTCTTTCCACCTAGGTAACTTAAATTGAAATAAAAATAAATAAATAAATGACGTATAGAACAACATATATCAAAMAAAAAAAAAAAAAAATGTGATTCATTAAAATGTTTGAGTTTTTGAGTCTCTCAACATACAACTCTGCTGAGACAAACAGCTGATATTGTGATAACAAGCTGGAAAAGATAACTTAGTATTATAATCCAAATATTTTGTGATAACTAATCAGCATGTTCATTAAAACTTTAATACAACCGACACGCTACGCGTTTCCAAATTTATCGAAAACTTTCCAATTTACACGTAAAATGAGTGTTMTAGTAAAGTCACTGAAATATTCCAAACATGGCGAACCGGTTGATGTAATGGAAATTGTAGAGGGCCAACTACAGGACCCAAAAGATAATGAAGTATTGGTTAAAGTACTGGCCGCACCTATTAATCCGGCTGATATCAATACCATACAAGGTAATTGTTGCGTCATTAGAATAAAATTAATATTTTTAATCTATTTAAGACCACCTTTCTTATAGGCAAATATCCAGTTAAGCCAAAGTTTCCTGCTGTTGGTGGTAACGAGTGCGTTGCAGAAATTATTGCCATTGGTAAGAATGTGTCAAAACTAAAAACTGGTCAACATGTTATACCATTTGCTACGGGATTGGGTACTTGGACCACCCATGCTATTTTTGCCGAAGAACAACTAATGCCGGTTTCATCAAAAATTGGACTTGCCGAAGCTGCCACCCTTACTGTTAATCCCTGTACAGCCTATCGTATGTTAAAAGATTTTGTAGCTCTACAACCAGGTGATTGTGTTATACAGAACGGTGCGAATAGTGCTGTAGGTCAAGCTGTTCATCAATTATGTAGGGCATGGAACATAAAATCCGTTGGCATTGTACGCGAYCGTCCAGATATAGCGTCTTTAAAAGAATATTTAAAATCCCAAGGTGCTACAGAAGTATTAACAGAAGAAGAAATTCGTTCTAGCACGCTTTTTAAAGAAAATCATTTGCCACGGCCACTTTTAGCTTTAAATTGTGTTGGTGGTAAAAGTGCCACCGAAGTGTCACGTCATTTGGCTGACAAGGGTGTAATGGTTACATACGGTGGAATGTCACGAGAACCTGTAATTGCGGGTACAGCTGCGCTGATTTTCAAAGATGTATCATTTCGTGGCTTCTGGATGACTCGGTGGACTAAAGAAAACGCTGACTCACCCGAACGTATACAAATGTTTACAGAATTGTGTGAATTGATCGAACAAGGCAAGTTCGTGGCACCAGTTCATGAGATGGTGCCGTTGCAAAAATTTAAGGATGCCATGGCTGCTGTTCTGGATTTCAAAGGTTTCGCTGGAAAGAAATTTATATTAGATATGCAAAACTAATACATCGTTATATATTTTKAAACACTTATTTGTTATGCAGATTTTTCGTAAGCTTATTTTTTTTTTAAATCCACCTTTGTGAATGAAAATGTCGGCATTTAAATGTACATGTCTGGATGCTTACTTTGTATTTTATTTGTATAAMAAATTTCGTTTGGAAACCGAAATGTCTGCTTATAAAGACTATTGTGATTTGTTACCGAAAATAACACCTACATATGTAGAAAATAAATTCAAAATCAAAATATATTTTTTTGTTTTGAAATTTTATTTGAAATAATAGATATTAATTTTAAAAACTCATAAACATTTCTTATTATTCATTAGTCATTTTTATGTAAGGTATTTAGTTGCCTATTTCAACTGGATTTCCGGACTCTGTGTTAAAGAACACTCGCCTTTCGATGCCGTCTTCTGTGATAATACCAATTCGTACCACACCACCGGAACTACCATCATGGTAGATAGCATGTTTCACAGCTTTAACCACAAATGCAACGCAATCTTCCTTATTCATCTGCGGGCGATAAGCTTCACGAACGTAACCATAAATATAGCTCGAACCTGAACCACCGATGGTTACGGACTCGCGCTTCAACATGCCACCTAATGGTATAGAATAAACTTGTCCGCCATTACGTTTATCCCAACCAGCCACGATAATACCCGCCAGCAAACTATCACGATAGTTGTAACAATAATTTCGGAATTCTGATGCCGCCTCTGCTACTAATGGCTCCTGACCAGTCTGATTTTCATGGTAATTTAACGAATATGCCACAATATCAGCGATGGCTTGTGTGTCTGCTGCGGAACCACTGCGGCAACAATATATTTTATCGGTAATCCGAGTCAATTTGTCTGTGACACGATTGGCCACAAAGAGACCAGTGCTGGTACGTGAATCTGCTCCGATCACTACACCGCCATCGAATTCAACTGCCATAATAGTAGTGCCTGTGCTGACGGCATTGTCGTGGATACCATAATCCTGTGAGAAATCCATGCTTTATTTTAATAACTTTTATCGAAACGCCAGGCAAAAACAAAAATGCGATTTTCCTTCGGTGACTGTGTGTATTTCAAAATGACAGCGGCTGCCAAATAGTAAAGTCATGTTCTTGACATTTATGTCCTTGCCATATTTTATTTTTACTCTAAAATATATTTTAATTATATCTGCTTATTTTAATTTGGAAGAAAAAATTTACGAAGTTTTCAAAAAAACATATCATCATCATATCATTTAAATAATCTAACTATTCTAAATATAGAATAAATGTATATTTAAAAATATAAATTCGAGCTCTAGCTTCTATTGAGTAGAATACGAATATTCTATACAAGGGGCTGCACAAGTTTTCTGTGACCAATAAATAACTAAACAAGTAACCTATCGACCAGTTCTCTGTAATCCATATGTGAACATAACAATAACCCAGCAAACTACAAATGGCTAAGCAAACAAATGCGAAAAATCAATGAGAGGGAGCGAAGTAACCTATGGATTAAGGAATGCATTAATTACTGATAGCCTATTGRTAACCAGTTACCTAACCGAAAGGGGCTGACAGAAAAACAGACACAGAATCAGGGTGAGATGGAGTGATTGGAAGAAAAATATTTATACGGTCTCAAAAGAACCGCAACACGGAAGAGAACATATTTTTTTTCCCCAAATGGATGGATCTGCTTTTAGGATTTTGCGTGAACTTTGCAATTAATTCCGCCTTACGTGACAATTTTTTCCAAGTTGTCAATGTGGATCTTGTTTATCTCAGACACAATGACTATCACCTTTCCGGCCTTTAGAATAGAGTTAGCAATCTTCTGAACTGTTTCTCCGAGGTAAATTCCACTGTTTCTATTGTTCTCTTTTCCAAAGCAGTTTATCCRTTTTTCGTTAATGGAATCGTTAAATCTTCTTCAAATTAAATTGGTTCAAATATCTCATCGAATCAGAACTAATATTTGATAGTCGCCATCGAAGAAGAAGAATCACCATATATATCATCCAAACGCTATTTGATATTACTTCGCGTGTCTCCGAATGATAGTACTTCTATTTTGTTTTTGCAAAGTCATAGGCCTTAACAAGAGCCGTTAGAAAGCATTTTTCACCGTTGAAAAAGAAGCGAAAGAGGTTTTCTTGCGGTGAACGAAGAAAAAACAAAGTACCTGGAGGCCATGCACAAAGGCCATTCACGTCGTGAGAAATACGTCACTGTTGGCAGGAATATTTTTGAAAAAGCTAAGGACTTTGTGTACTATATATACTCGGAACCAGCACAAAATATCCAAGCCTGGAGTTCAAACGCAGAAAAGCTCTTGTCTTTCATTATTCCGGTCCTATTATACGAAGCATGGACGATGGCGAATAGAGATGAAAAATTACTTGAAGCATTCGAGAGAATTGTTCTCAACACGGCCTTTGGAACCGTTCGCGTGAGCCATAAATATCGAAGAACATTAAACCACACACTGTGCGAGCTGTAAGGCGACCTGGTTATAGCTAAGCGAATGAAAATCCAACGAATATACTGGTTAGGCCGTGTCATCCAAATGGAAGATTATGCTCTGGCGGAAAGCTCCATCGATTCGAGACCCATGGGTGGAAAACGGAAGCAAGGACGCCCACGCATCTAATGGAAGGTAGCAAACTATCAGCACTTGGGATGTAAAACAGCAAAACCTTTGAAAGAATTTGATAGATAGGACCACTAAAGAYATAACTGCCATACAAATTGATCCATCAAAAACAAGSTCGAAATGGCGAAAAACTCACCAAAAATCAATAATGTATGTGACGGCGGATTATCGCGGTGCAAAAACCAAGAGTTGTCGGTCCATAACTCCGGCCTCTTTTTACAAACTGCTGACAGTTTGGCATGACGGCGGGAACTCGGAGTACACCACTTCTCGATAATCGAAGAAACCTGTCAACATAACCTTGGTTTTTGACCTACTTTAACGAGATTTTTCGGCTCGGCTCATCTTTCCTATGACATTCGGCCGATTGATCGTCTGTTTCCGGGTTGTAAGCATACATAGATCCAAAACTCATCGTCAATAATAATACGCTTCATGACATCCTGGTAGTCGGAAAGCACACAACGCTTTCTTTCGAAAAAAAAAAATTAGTGATTTTGGAAACAATTGTGCTTTCACTTTTCTTAGGCCCAAATGATCTTTCAAAACGGATATTTGCTTTAAAGAGTCTTACTATTTTTTGCCCACAGTAGTATATATGTATATTTGTAAAACTATTTAATGACAACTTAACGGCACTGTTATTACATATTAACCACTGTTATAGATAATGTGCTGCATAAAATACTGTTACAAAAATTAGTGGATCAATAACTTTCACTACAAAAACTAAAGCTTGTGCTCTCTTCTGCTGCATTAGTAACTTACCCATTTACCTACATACATACATACACAYATATACCTAAACCGTCACATCACACGTAAATACACAATAAATTATATAGACGTACTCGAACATATATGCAGATTTTCGAAAATATTGTGTGAGCGCATATTTATAATCATATATTTTTTAGTCTACATCTTGGCGCTAACCCCTGCACTTACCCCACCAACGACAGCATGTAACCAAATATWGCATTTACGAGCCTTTTATCGCCCGACGTAACCGAAACACGGCATTCTATGTGGCACTGAGTGTTAACCCATAATGCAGGGCTCGCGTGCCGTGCGACTCAACAATTTAGAGAAAAGAAGAAAGAAAAATATATACATATATAWCGTGAAACTATATAGTATTTAATGTGAGTATGATATGTTATATGGTACATATAAGAAATTCATATTTTTCCACATACCAAAGTGACGGCAGGTAGTTGCTAGCATTCAGTTAGCATGCCTTACCAGGTAGTACCTGAGTGACAGACTGCCCGATCGCCTGACTGCCGGCGACTTATTCACTTGTTTGCGCGCCAGCAATGCTGCCATTACTAATTGTCCTGCCAGCTCCAATGTGGCGACAACGCCAAAGCCAACCCGAACACGTACACTGACGCCGTCAACCAACTGCGGTTCATTGCCTACAGCGTTTCTGCTTGCAGGCGCAACGCGGCGGTACGCGCGCGCTAACCGACAATGAAAACAGTGACAACGGCAAGCGAACCGCCGGACATACTCTTAGCGTTGTTGAACTAGTATGCAATGCGAGCGCGGCGCTGTTTGAGTGTGTGTGCGCGTGTGCTTGCGCTGGCGGTGTGTGGGGGCGCTTGTGTAACATTTTGACTCCTGTGTGCGCCTTCACGCTGTTTGGGTTAGTGTTCAATTGGATCGCTAGCATGCTAGACGTTGCGCTCCGCTTCAATTGTAAACAAAAATTGTAGAGAAATTCAATAAAATCGCGCGAGCCTTTGTTATTGCAGTGTGGCAGTGTGTTTAAATAACAGTATTTTGTCGGTAGCTAGCRAACAGCTGATAATCGTTAATTTTTCCCGCGCGCGGCGGGTGACATATTCATACTTACACCAACAAYAATTATAAGAAGACCAGCATGRCGTCCTTGAGTCAGCAGTGCAACCCGCGCGCCAATGTCTTTCTAATGGTTAATTTGGGCTGCGAAATGCTTTACGTGATTGATCAACGCCTGAAGGCGCAACAAATTTGCGAGGAAAAGTCAACTCAAGGTATAAACAAAACAAAAAAAGCAACAACTGTGTGTGTTCGGGAGTTTTTGAATGTACTTGTACTCGTGTATATGTGTGTGCGTGTGCTTGTATTAGGTGAAATTAGCAATTTAAAATTCGCGACTATTAAGCGTCTAATTATGGGAGCTATCAGATGGTGTTGCGGAATTCTAAMACAGGTGTGCATATGTTCGAGAACACTTGCTGTTGGAAGCCAATAAATTTTATTATACTACTAAAGGCAATCAATAATTTTGTAGTTACTYTAATAACAATGTGAATTTGGTGTATTTCTTGGAAGTAACGGTTTGCAATTATTGAATAATAATTAATATAAAATAGTG